AATTTGGTCTAGGCCCGTAAAGAGGGCGGTATTACAAAAACTGGTGGGCAAATAGTGTCTGAAAGTAGGTATTACTTTAAAAAGGGGTTTGGTATAATATTTTCCTATTTATTGGATATTTTGTCATAAAGTGTCCGACAACAGGGGGTGGCCGGCTAACAGGTACTTTCACCCTATTTTGACGGCATCGGGATACATTTTTGCTCGAAGCGTGTTTATTAAACGACTTTCGGGTGCAAATTTGGGCGTGGCACCCCCAAAAAAATGTCGCCTCCGGCGGTACGTACGTTGCGACACGTGATGATTTTCTCGTCATCCATTACCCCCCCCCCCCCAGAAAAACACTGGGGCCGACATCGGACCACTCACAAGAAACCTAAAACCAAAAGTTTTAATGTATTCAAAAAATATTATTGTACATTTATAAGTTTATTCTATTTTATGGTTAAGCTTAATATATTGTACTCAAACAATAATCGTAAAATATAAAAATAAATATGTAATCCATATAGAAATATATTAGGATTCGAATTTCGACCACCGGCGTATACAAGGGGGGGGGGTAATGGGGGTAATTACCCCCCCCCCCCCCCAAGGTCGTTACGATGGACGAAAAAAATGTACCCTACACCTTACAAATAAATCTATTTTTTATATTTTTACTTTTCAGCAACTGACCCTAACTTGTTTTCTAGTTTGCACAGTGTCCGCACTGCCCGCATGCCATTTATAGCGAATTCTATTCAAAGGGATAGTGCACACTGAGTGTATTCATATCTTTCTCTACTAGCTTGCATAAGAAAGAGATAAATAATTTTTTTGTATTAATCCTACCAATAGAATTCGCTATGCCTATAATTGAAAAGTTTTAGGAGATTCTCATAGCGAATTCCATTGGTAAAATCAGTGCGAAAGAGTTTATTTTTATCTCTTTCTTATATAAGCTGGTAGAATAAGATACGAATACACTCGGTGCGCACTAACCTTTATTCCAATGGAATTCGCTATCAGAGTTCGGTTTCGTTATTTGTTGGTAGTACAGAACATATTTACCTAACAAGTGCGAAAAATGAATTTTTCCGCACGAGTCTGTCGTTCACCCAAAGACGCGTAGCGGAATTCGGTGAAGCAGCCAAGTTCGGAAGACAGATTTATCGCATATGTGTTAGGTACAATAGGTTTTTTACAGACGTGCGGAAATAAGTAGGTACATATACCCAAGGATGATACACACTACTATTACTACAGGATGGCTTATCCTCATAAGGCCTGTTTGTAAAAAATCCCCCTCTACCCCCCTTAGCCAAACAACCAGTTGTGACGTAAGCAGCATGGCGTTTCTCGCCTTGACGTAGGCTGTTTAAACAGCTGAAAACTTAGTTATGACGTCGACAATGGTTGAAAACAGTTGAAAACCAATATGGCGGCGATTACCAAAAACGAGAAAGAGTTGTTTCAGAATATTAATTAATGTAGTGAAACCAAGTTTTGCATAAAGGAAAAGCCCGCGGAATCATAACCTGTGGTACAAACACCCTACGTGAAGACGAGAAACGACACGCTGTCTACGTCATCACTGATGATATTTTGGCATGGCAGCGGCGGCTTCAGATTGAACTACACAGGCCTTATGAGGATAGACTATCCTATAGTAGTAGTGTGTAGTATCCTTGCAGGAAACTGAGGTACAAAAGTAACCTCTTTTCCAGGAACCAGTAACTATAGTAATTCGATTACTTTCGGAACGCTTTTCTGTAGTTGCCACATTTTTATTTTTCGTTGAGGAATTATGATCAGGAGCATTAACCCTCAGATTTGACTGGATTTATGCCCGATTGCACCATCTCTCTTAACTGAGGCTTAACGATAACTATCCCTTAAATTGACAGTTTTGCATGGGAAAATGTCACTTTAAGGAATAGTTATCTCTAAGCCTCGGTTGAGAGAGACGGTGCAATCGGGCATTACGATTTAACCCATTTCCCAAAATCCCAAAAAAAAATACTTGCTTCTTGATGTTACAGATTGGTTACCAAGATCGTGTGTCAAAATCGTGTAATTGTGAAAAATGAAAGCGTGTAAAAACGTGTAATTTTACCAGCATATCGTGCAATTTCACAAATTCAGATTGACAACACTGCCTTGCATATACCCAAGAATCGTAGAGTTTACGATTCTTGGCATATACCTACATAATTTGTAGTCATTTATTGATTTTTTTTTTGACAGCCATGCGGAAAAGATTTAGATTTTTCCGCACCGATATCCGTGCGGAAAAAAATTCGCCGCACCGTGAGAGAAAATCGATTTTCCGCACTGTTTAATTGTCCTCACTCTCGTAGAAAATTTTTTTTTTGAAGGCTCAAAGTAAACGTTTTTGGGCGTGGCACCCGGGAAAAAATGGGCTGATTACCCCCCCCAGACGCATGGGTTGGATACGCCGGTGATTTCGACACTCAATATACCTCATCATCTTTCTTAGTAGGTATAGTATTTAGTTATTTTACAAAAAAAAACTACTTACTTTTTTGTAGATAATATCAGATTAAAGTCAAAATTGTATTTTGCAAAGCGCGTATATGGAGCATTTTCTGTGTCTGGTCGAAAGTGGATGTAATAATATAACACCGTTTATTAGACAAAATGTAGCACTATTTATGTTGATCACAATTTATAAACTATTTTTATTAGACTTATTTGATTATCATTAAATTAAATAGGGACATAAAGCTTCCGTATTTTTTGGTCGGTATCCGTATCGGTATCGTACTGCGCATGTGCAGAAGCGATACGGACGCCGAGATACCGTACGTACAACGTAAAGTTACGTTACGGCCCTCTCGAGGTATCCGTATCGGTAACGTATCTTGACATTCCTGACGCATGTGTCAAATTTTTTATTTAGTTTATACTTTCTTGAGTTTCTTGTGTGTTTAGTGCTTCTCTATCGCAAAAAAAAATAACAATTTTATATAAAAACGCCGGAGTTTTGACACGAAAATTACTAGATTATGATGAGATGCGTTTACGTTTACTGGAACAGGGAGCGCTTTAACAGCCTTTTCGCTTGTCAACGTATCTAGTTGCGTTACGGATACCGATACCGATACCGGCGAATTATTTCAAGTAGCTTTATGTCCCTAATCAAGCAAATGTGAAAATTCATTGTCTTTAATTTGACCTTGTTCAGTCATCTTGAAAAGCTTATAACTCGAAAACGGCTCGATTCGGGCTCGAACGATTTTTTTGTGGCAATGATGAAATTTGATCAGAAGGTCATGAACTATATCACACTAAAATTTTATTGAATTTGATCGGAACCACTTTTCCATAAGTTTTTGTGCGTGGTCCTTTCTCGCTTTGACGTAGGCTGTTTAAACAGCTGACGTCAACGCAATCGAGCTTATGCGCGCGCAAATGCTTCAAGCGCATGTTTGTGTTCCAGCCGTACTACGCTTTGAGAGCTGCTAACTTTTGCGTTTCAAACACAGAATATGGCGGCGATTACCAAAAACGAGGCCGATAAGCAATCCTGAGGCGATTTTCAGCCTGGAATGATTATTTATCGGTAAATACCGTGGTTATTCTTTTGGTTGACAACTTTGACAGCCAAGTGTGCCGTCTTAGCCTCCCACCATTCAAGAATCATAATCCAAGGAACTGACCGCTGAAATGATTTGGTTATAGCAGTGTAGGATTATGTTTATTATTCTTATTTGTTATTTCGTTTCAACAATAGTTTTTTGTTTAGGTACAGAAAATGGAGCTGAATCTCTCGTTAGTCTTGTTTATCGAACAGATTTTCTTTGGGGATGATCTAAACCTCGATCTAAACATGGTGAATTGCAGTGAGTGAGTGAATGTTTACTTCTTTCATTGTGCCAGGCTACAACGCAACTGCAAAATCACAAAACACCAATTCAAATTTCAAAAATAATAACAATAACATCAAAAAGCTGTAACCAAAAGATTAACCCAAGTCCAAAGCTGGGTTATAATCGGTTATAAATGGTAAATACCAAAAGCAAATCAGCTGATATGTGACGTCACAACTTCCCCTACTTTGGTTAAAACCGCGACGGCGGAAATGCATTGGTTATAACCAAATAATAATCATTCCAGGCTGAAAATCGCCTCTGTAGGTGTGTATCATCCTTGCGGAATCATAACCTGTGGTGCAAAAAGTCTACGTCAAGGCGAGAAACGACATGCTGCTGCGTCACAACTGGGGATTTGGCGTGGTAGGGTAGGGGGCTTCAGAAATCAGATTTGTTCTACACAGGTCGAGGCCTATGAGGATAGGCTTTTCTGTGGTAGCAGTGTCACGGCCGTGGTAGTGTGTATTACGACGTAATAGTTGTATTCCTTTGACAGCTAGGAGAGGCTCCGGGACAGCTCCGGGGCGTTACGCGCTTGGTTTCTTTCAAAAAGTGTTTGTTGCACCTGCAGTGCTCAAGCCCGAACTAAACCATGCAATGCACGAAAGTCAGCGCATCTGAGCCCGGATTCCGAACCCACGATTCGATAATATCGTCCATAGAAAATTGACAATTTTACATTGTATTGCCAACATAATGTCATTTTGACTTTTATCTTTATAAAAAAAACAGATTTTAGACGATACTATCGAATCTTGGGTTCGGAATCCGGGCCCTGATCCTTTCAAATCGGGGTCGACTAGCACCGGAGCGAGTAGCTCTAATGTTCTAAACTCTTGAAAGGAATACGCCGCCCACCACCAGTGACATAACTATAATGGTGCATTTACATTCACTTCAAACTCCAATTTGTCTTGAAATTGACGTGCTTGCCATATGGCGACAGCAGATCCATTTACATTGAAATAAATTTGAAGTTCACTTCAAAGTGCACTTCAAATTTGGGCGAGCTGCTTGCCAAGGGCAAGCAGAAATTTGTGAAATGTCAAATTTTTAAATTATCCATTTGATTCTTATAAAATTCTGACGTTTTGACTTGACGTTTTTGTTCTGCAATAATATTGATAAAATATTAAACGTCAAATTTAACTTGAAGTTAGAAGTGAATGTAAATGCTCGTTTAACGTTTGAATCCTGAATTAGTTCTTATGTCAACTGTCAAGCCACCCAAGTCCCAAAGTGGTCATTCGTCGCTTCGCTTTGGCTGGATAGGTGATAAGCTGATAAGCTTATAGTGAGGTTAGTGTTGGACTATGTTTAATTAATAGTTTATAGTTACAAAATTGACCCTATTCTGCACTATTTTATTCGGAATGGCTAACGGGTTTACGGAATCAGCATTGATTAAAAAACTAGCAGACTTGAATAGCTCCTCTCAGAGCATCCAAACTTTAGCCCTATGGCTAATCCACCATAGGAAACATTATGCTACTGTTGTTAAGATATGGGCTAGAGAACTTATCAAAGGTAAGATTTATTTTGTATTTATTATCTACTATTAGATAGAGAAACGCCAAACTCAAGGAAAGTTCGAAAAATCTACTCAAATCCTGTTGATAGATTTTGGCTTCATTGTAACTATTATTGCACTCATAACACTGACAATGCATTATTTGATTTACGATTGCAGTGTGTGTGAGTATATCTTTGTAGATATTTTTTGGGTATCTCAAAAGTTACTTATGTATTTAAGTATAACTCAAATATAAGGTACATAATGTTATATACTTACTGCGTCACCTAGGTACTGCACTGCATTTTTTTAATATACAATTTGAAGGTCAACAAAAAAACCATAATAAACATGATTTTTTTATGCACATATGCCATATTCTAAATAGGTGTGTATTTTTCCATTTTTGTAATTTTGGCAGTGAACATTCCATTATCTCCACTTTTTGAGTCCATATTTTTCATCTGGAGTATGCTAGAACAAACCTCTCCAACATTACTGTTGAACACACAAACAGTTGTTCAGATAGAGTATCGTTGGTTTGAGCAAATCTACAACTTTTGGCCTGTTAATTTCAGCCCAGAAAGATCGGCAATTAACCTTCATGTTTCTTGCTAACGATGTCATACAAAATAGTAGAAAGAAAGGTCCAGAGTACAGCCAAGAATTTGGCTCGAGCCTCATAAAAGTTTTTGAACATATGAGCAGTTCTGATCAAAGTACTAAAAATGGTGTTAGTAGATTATTGAGGATTTGGCTTGAACGCGGAATCTATAGCCCTGTTTTGATTAATGAGTTTCAAAAAGCAATTGGTAAGTTATATTTTTCCTATAAATGTTTTACAGAAATACAATAATACCTAATTAGTTTTAGACGATGATGAACCAGTTACTAAAAAAGCCAAAACTGAACACAAATCCAAATCTGAAAAATCTAATAAAGAGAAAAGGGTAAAGAAGAAAAAGCAAGTTACTGTTGAGGTACTAAATTTGAATAATAAATAGTTTTGATATTCCTTGTAGAATCATTTTCATTGTAATTTAAACAACTAATTTATATTTCAGATTGATGGAACTTTGGAAACTCATGTCCGTCTAAGTCCCCACACTCCCCCAGGGGATCCACCAGAGCCTGACGAACTAATAAAAGCCATCCAAGAGTTAGAAAGTAACATTGCATCATCTGACGCAAAAACGAGAGAAACAATAACAAACTTACCTAAAGAACTTTCTGATGCTTCAACTATTAGTAACATACAGAATAGGGAAGTGGCTGATAAGTTGGCGGTCCAACTTGATGATGTTATCTCATTATTGACTCAGTACAATACAAGATTAGCTGCTGAAATGGTATGTAGGAAAAAGGTGGCGGGTATGATGAAGGATTTTTTGCAAGTGCAAGAAGATCTACTTGCTCAAGCAGAAAATTCAATAGAGGTACGAAATCCAAATATTCTTTTGCTCAGGTTAACAAGTATTGCTTTCAGGAATCCCAGGAAAAATTATCAAAAATATATGGGGTGAAGAAAGAGTTACAAGCCCATTTGCAAAAGTTGCCAGATATTACCCAGCTTCCTGATGTAACGCATGGTTTGGCACCTTTGCCTTCAGCCGAAAATCTTTTTATGCAATAGAACGCTTAGAATTTAATATTTATTATGTTGATTCAAAATTTTGCATTAATTTCTGTGTTTTTTTTTTAAATATTTAACATATATTTCACATTGTGATTTTTCTATGTGGAAATTTATGTTTTGTTCTGGTAATTACATACTTGTTATGTCTTTGGTAACAACCATCTACCAATTTATATTATATGCAGGTTATTAGCATGTACCCAATAGCATATTCTGAATCAAAAATTACCAAACTCCTGGTACTGGATGATCTAAATTATTATCAAAAGTGACTCTTTCCTAATGGACTGTATACTGGAATGAGTCAATACAAAATTCATCTTTGAAATATTTCAAGCCCAGGCAGTGATTTTTAGTTCAGTAAATTGTACAGGGTGGGTAAATTGTACAGGGTGGGCCAATTTGGACACTTCCTTATGGAAACACCCTTTATTTTTAGAGATAGAAAAAAATTAACCCCCCACTCTGAGGCTCAAATTTCATGAAATTTTGAATGGTGCAAACCGCTTTTTGATATCTTCAACTGTTTAGCCGCTAGAGGGCGATTCTCGATTTTGAGCAATAGTGTGAATCCTTCATAACTTTTTTGTTTATGAAAATAATTGATTTCCGTAAAAACTTTCTGGAAGCACTTTTTAAAACAGAATTCAGGGATGTTCTCAGTTTTTTTCTATTTGGCGCCGATTTTGAGATATTGACCTAAGTCTGATTTTTTTCAGTGGGACACCCTTTATATTAATAGCTCATTCCAAAGCTATGATTTTTCTGATTTTAATGATATAAAGTTCGATAGGTTTATCTCTAACCGTTTTCGAGAAAAAAAAATATTTTGGTTTTTGTCATAAGAAACAATGTATTAGAAAGAGACCTTTTTCATTTTCCTTACAGATATAAATAAAGTCCTTTTCTAACACATTGCTTCTTATGAGAAAAACCGAAATTATTTTTTTTCTCGAAAACGGTTAGAGATAAACCTTATCGAACTTTATATCATTAAAATCAGAAAAATCATAGCTTTGGAATGAGCTATTAATATAAAGGGTGTCCCATTGAAAAAAATCAGACTTTGGTCAATATCTCAAAATCGGCGCCAAATAGAAAAAAACTGAGAACGTCCCTGAATTCTGTTTTAAAAAGTGCTTCCAGAAAGTTTTTACGGAAATCAATTATTTTAATAGACAAAAAAGTTATGAAGGGTCCACAATATTGCTCAAAATCGAGAATCGCCCTCTAGCGGCTAAACGGTTGAAGATATCAAAAAGCGGTTTGCACCAATCAAAATTTCATGAAATTTGAGCCTCAGAGTGGGGGTTTAATTTTTTTCTATCTCTAAAAATAAAGGGTGTTTCCATAAGGAAGTCTCCAAATTGGCCCACCCTGTACAAGTACAGCATCAGAGCTGCAAAATATTGCTATGTCATTATATAAAATAAAGACACAGAGACGTAAAACTACAGAGGATTTTAATAATATGCTATAGTGCACTATGTAATATACAATATTTTATACATATAATACGATCATTCAAATATCAATGAATTGGATAAATAAATCATTACCTTACTAGAAGCATTGTTATCTTAGTAGGTTCAATTTCAGTAATAATATTTGAAATTGAATATGTAATTTGGGGCATATTGTAATTACAAAAATAATACTTTTATGCACCTAAATCTAAAAGTGCAACTTTCAAAAACAAAATGTGTGCAAAAAAAGTAGCTATTTTAGCACAATCCTGTAAAAAAATTATTTAAATTTTTTTAAGTCTTGTGTAATTAATTGATAATATGAATCTATATTATTATTATTGTCGCCTCTGGCCCCACATTGTTGATTATTGTTAAAATTTCAAATTTTGGATGGACTTAGTTTGGAAAAATATACCTATATCTATTTATTTTTTAGAGTAATTTCATGTTTAGTTTAAATAGGAAATAGCAAATTTACCCATTCTCAAGTATTTTATTGGTGAGTCAGTCACAATCGTAGACCTTTTATATGGCGTTCTGTGTAAATTTGCTGTTTCAACAAAAAAACTTAGTTATGCAGTCATATAGTTTTTACCTATAACATACAGAGGTGATTTACGTAGCCCATGCATTAGCTTGCAGGTGGATAAGATGCTATTTCGACTAATCCACCTGCAAACTGGACAACTTGTAATGCACGGGCTACGTAAATCACGGTGTATAATTTAACTATTTTTTAGAATCATTGAAAATACATAGTTTAGTATGGTTTTATTTGTGGTTCAATTTTTCCAAATAAAAAAAAAAGTTGCTGAAGTAATTCTTCTATTATATTTCCAGTTATTGCTTAAAATTGCTAAAAAAAAAAATAATACTAAAAAGTTTAGTTGCTTGAATTCCCACACCATTTGTGAACAAAACTTATCACTGCTGGAATATTAGAGTCTGGCGCCAATTTCGAGCCCATATTCAATTTAGCCCACGCCTCTTTGGCAGCTTGAAAATTTGAATTGGCAAAAGTAACAGCTTGTTTTTTGATTGGATATCCTGTTACCAAACACGGCAGTTCTCCCGGCTGCAAGCTACTCTCGTAAAGCTGTCTCTCATCCAATGGCAAAGTTTGCTCTACTTTTTGATCCATACTAATGGCCAATACCCATTCCCGCACATTATCGTGTTCTTTGGGATCGTCGGCAAGGTACAGTTTTGGAGGAATTGGAATATTTGATGGAAAGTCTGTTTGGAGTAGATCTGAGTGATCTACTAGCTGGCCTTCGCCTTCTTCAATGGCTTCACATAAATCTAGGTAGTGATTTAGAAATACAAACGCTTCAGATATGCGATGTTCCTCTTTTAGATCTTTACCTAGAAAAAGTAAATATGTTTAATCATAATAATACTTCAAGGAAAACAATTATGTATAAGAGGTTACATTACAGTGCGTCTCTTCTTCTTCATCATTCCCCAGAAGGAATATTCACTATCATTATCAACTCTGATCTTACCTGCTTCATAATAAGCCTTATCAGCAGGAATTATGTCAGTATAACGTAACAGGGCTGTACTTATCTTCACTCCTATAGATTTTAAAGAATTCACTTGCCGACAAGCACATCTTAGAGCATAGTAGTGAGCAATTAATAAAAGTTGCCTGAAATGCAGTTTAGTTTCCATGTTTATGTTGAGGGCAGTTTCGAAACCTTCATTCTAAAATACTATTATTGGAAAAAACAAACCAGATGCATATTGTGAACCTACAACTTCCAAAAGCATTTGCCTCAGCTGCTCCCAGACTCCATAAGAATCCGGTCCAGAAAAATCTGGCAAACCGAACATTTCTGTAGCAATGTGGTTATAAATATTGAAATTTTGAGGCATGGCAGGAGCTCCATGAGTTGAATACAAATTAAGGGCTTCCACAAAAAAATTGTCTTTTAATAGTTTGGCGGCATATAGAGCCACATATTTGTGTAGAATTGGAGCTACATTATGTGATTTAGCTTTTTCTATGCAACGAATCCATTGGCCTTGTTCAGCTAGAAGATCCAAGGCTCCAATAATATCTGCAATATTTTGTTAAAAACAGATTTGATTCTATATTCACATACAGACCAACATCTGCTAATTGTTCAACATCTCCTTTCTTCAATAACCGATCCTTATATTTACTCTCTACGTAGCTCTCATATGCGGGCTCAAGTTCCTTAGCAACTTTCCTAGCTTTAGTCCAATCTTCTGCCACTATAAAAGTATCTATAGCTTCCTTCATTAGCTCCATACTTATATAGAGCTGAGCTGCTACTGCATATTCATTTATATCGATTAATCTTGGTGACAGGACTTTAATAATATCCAAAGCTTCTTGACCAAATAGAAATTTATTAACCATATCGGCGGCACGCAGTAGTGCTCTTTTAACAATAGAAGGTTCAGTTATAGATGTGTTGACTTGTAAAAGGCACTCTATAGCCTGTTTGTGTTGACCCGCTAAAGCCCATTCATTGGCTCTTGATAACAAAGTTTCTATATTGACATCTGTAGTTTTATTGTGATGGGAAGTGCTATATTCTGATTGCAGAGAAGGATACAGATGAGGAAGGTAGTCTTTACAGACTCTAAGCGCATCAATCCACATTTCTGCACTCTTATATTTCTGAACAATCATTTGCGGCTGCTGGGCACGTAATAAAAGCACCTCAAATTCATTGAATTGCTTTTCCTTGAAACATTGCGCTGCTTGAGCTTGTAATACTTCTGGAACAGTACTTGGATCATGCGATTCAGCCACTCGTAGGGCAGCAATCCAATTTTGAGCGTGTACATACATTAAAACTGCTTCTTTAGGTTTATCTGCTAAAATAAACTCGGTTTCAGCTTCTGCAAATTTACCGTCGTCTTCTAGAGCCATTGCATATTTGTAGTGAACTTCTGAGACCTGCAAACTCCATCTTAATAGCGAAGAAACACCTATAAATTACTTACTTTGCTGGTAAGTTCTTTACACAACTGAAAAGCGAACTCAAATTGATAAGTTTCACATGCGTAATTAATACAAGGCTCCAAAATCCCATATTTATTCAAAAGCTTTATAGCCGAATCAACAGGTAAAGTTCTTGACCATAGAAAAGCTACTTGGTTGGCTGCTGTAGCTCCTCCATTTTGCTTAGCAACTCTATAAGCTTCCTCCCACATATTTATTGTTCTGTACATATTCATAGCAGTTTTCCATTCTCCGCATGCCAAATAATGAATTTCCGCCGCTCTGTGTTTGCCCTGGCTTTCCAACTGTTGCCCTAGGTGCAAATGGGTCGTCTGTAGAAGATTTGGATGGTACTTTTCTACTAGGCGAATCTAAAATATGATATTATGATTTTTAGGGAAATATTGGCCATTAACTATAAGTTACCATATTGTCATACTGTTCTACTCTTTTATACATAGCTATAGCTAAGTCTGGGGAATTAACTGATAAATATAGCTTCTCAGCTTCACGAAATTTACCAGAATCTTCCAATTCTTCTGCCCTGAAAAATAAATTCAGCTGGACAGCAATCAACATAGTTTGTTTTTTACCTAGCAATATACATTTCGGACACTTCATCTTGTTCCAAGTACTTCGAAGCTATCGCATGTGCTTTATCCCACTGTCCAGCTTCATTATACATATCGACAGCCTCTTTATACATTCCCGAGGCTGCATACAGTTTTTCTGCCGTAAAATAATCCTTGATTCCAGCAAAATGTCCAGCAATTATGACATAATATTTTTTCACTGTATCAGCGTCGTCAATTACTTTAATTATGTGAACCGCTTTTTTCCATTGTCTAGCTGCTACAGCTGCATCTAGAGCTTTCATAGTACAGCCTGCTTCTATGTAATGATTTATTGCAGCGTCCATTTGTTTACTAAAAGAACATGGTTACTTGAAAAATTAGAGCCTTATTTCACTCACTTTTCAACTAAATTATCTCCCCATTCTTCTTCCAACTGAACAACTTGGTCTGGGCTGAACAATCTAGCCAATTCTACAGCTTTGTTCCATAGTTTCCCTTAAAGAAGTTATAAAGTAAAAAGTTCAATTAAAATCTATTTTTACCTTTCCTATAACACTCCATTGCAAGATCATTTTTATCCAGCTTCTCATAAATGTCAGCTGCAGCTTCATAAAGCTCCTGCCTTAATAAATTCTTTAGGACGTTTCCTACAATAGCCTGATCATTTAGTAATGTTGGATTTTCGGCCAATAAATGAGGGATTCTTAAAAGTTTATTTGATTTAAGGTACATATTTATAGCTTCCTCGCTCTTTCCTTCTTTTTCCATAACTTGACCCACTTTGTCGTATTGGCCTGTTGAGACCAGCATTGACATGTACTCTGTCTTGAGGTCTTGTAGATGAGTATAGCCTCTTTGCTCAGCTAATCTGAAACAGATGAAGATTTTTAGTTACTTGAACTACTGAATTATTTTTTTTTAAATTGCAAAAATAGTCCTTAGGTATTTTAGAAGAAAAGGACATAGGTACCTTAGCACTTCAGTCCATTTATGTAACTTTTTATACATTTCGATAGCACTCTCAATGTCGCCTTGTTCCAAATAAATATTCTCAGCAGTAGTTAAATCTCCATAAAGTATTGAAAGTCTTGCCCATATTTGTGGCGAATTACTGGGATTTTCATTGTGTTTTTCCATAAATTCTTGTCCCAATTTCAGAGTTTCTTGAAGATAACGACTTGAAGATATGTCTCCTAAAAAGTTAGACCATAGATTTTTTGCAGCATTGTATGTAGTAGATGAATATTCCTACCAATTGCTGAAAAACATCTCTCTGCTAACATGAGATTTTGTTGTTTCATAGCAATAGCTAACAATGTGTGCCACATTGCATCTGACTCAGAAGATTTTCCCATACTTTCCAGGAACAAAACTGCTCTGCTATAGTCGTTATCATTAATCGCAGTACCTAAATGTGATAAAATGGTCTATATGAAAACTTTTGAATATAATGCAACTTTAAAGTCTTCTATGGATGCTTCAAGATAATTTTTCAATAGTCTCCTAGAACAGTTCTTACCAAACTCCACAAGTCCTTCATCTAACTCCACATTAAACGTTTGATTTCCATCAACACAAATCGCATCAGTCTTTCCATTTGTTCTTATAACATCAATAACTTCGCCTCTAACTGTCATAATAGTGGGATTTTCGGGTAGCTCAATGTTATACCAAATGGCTAAAGCATTTCCAGATTGAGCTACTGCCACATCACTACTTTCTACCCACTGAACAAAAGTTACATCAGTGTAGATGGTTTGTTTGGATTGGGAGGCGACATCAACAAGAAGCAACCTAAGAAAAAACTTCCCATTGTATTTTTTTATACTGTTGAAGTGCCTCTTTTACCTTTGTTTTTTGTCTCTGAAAAGCAATTTTTCTCCAGTTTCATTGAGTTCCAACCAATCAATTTTCGAATCGTGTCCAATTTGGCACAAAGCAATACCAACAACTAAATCCATAATTAAAATAGTTTTTAGATCCAGCAAATAGGCTAATTTTTTGTTGTCAATTTGCTGATTTCTTTCGTTCAGACGGACACTCATCAAGTGAGGATTGGCAAACTCTGTCCTAACCGAACACAATAGCGAATTATTTCCATATTCAATAAGAGTGAGTTCCCCTGCATTGAAAACTAGACAGACATTGGAGTTTTCAAAGTAGAATTTTTCGTTTTGTTCTGGATTGTTCCAAGGAACCTAAATATAGAGATATCGGCTATGCAATGATCGACAATAATTAAAGCAATGGTGGATGATGAGTGAAAAGAAACTCTGGACCTCAATTCTTAAAACAAGGGAAACTGCATGATTATCATGAGAATGATTACGCCCTTTCGCTGTTTCAAGAATAGGGGTTCAAATCTGCTTGGAGCAAATACAAATGAAAACTTCTATGAGGATCAGATCCAGAAAAAAAAAATCTACAGCTAACATGTATTGTGCTTCCATTGGTGACATTCACCTCACTAAGTAAGTTTCGTTTCAAATCAGCAACCAAAAGGGTTTCTCGAGTTTTAGCCACCAAATATGAATCTTTGCCCATTATTTTCACATCGTCTATTTCACCTCCATGCTGTGAGCGCAAAATTACACCTCTCTCATTGGTATCCAGAGGTTTTACCAAAACTTGACTGGGACCAACATATGTGATTTCAAATTTATCCTTCCACACCCGTCTTTTCAAAACTGAAACCAAATATGTAGCAAGAAAAACGATTACAACAATCAGTTTGTACCTGATTCAAACATCATTACTGCCCCGCAAAATCCCCCACAAGCAACCTTTGACCCGTCACGTTTCCAAGCTAAAGCAGTTACAGTATAAAAGTTTTTGATAATTTTCGCAGGTGTCTCATCCCAAATATTTTTTTGGGTATTCCAAATATATGTCCTTAAACGATCGAAACTGCCCAATGTGACAGCATGTCCACTAGGGCTACTTATAGCCACCACAAAATCATGCTCCTCGTTATTTTTACTATAATCAAAAGTTTTAACAGTTTTTCCTGCGTTATTATAAACACAGACTCTTTTATCACAACCAGCAGCAAAAATATGTCCTTGGGGCCAAGCTAAAGCGAAGGGAGGCACTGAATGTAATGCTGCCCTTCCTTGAGCTTCCCCATCGCTGTCAGGATCACTTGCTACAAAAAATCTTATGACATTGCCATCTATGTGACCAGAAAGAAATCCAGTGCCTTTGGAATTTGGGGCTAGCGACACTACAAGACTATCTGAGGCAAAAAGACTTTGAGATTTATTGGATTTAATTTGAAGAGCTCGAACTTTGCCATCTTGTAGGCCGCAGATTATGGGACCACATAGTAGCCATAAAACACATGTAACAGGGGATGGTTGAGGGAACTTGTTACATATTGCCTTTTTCTCTCCCCATTTTTCGCCAATCTTATAAACATAAACAATACAATCACTTTGAGCTACTGCAATTTTCGTGGAATCGGAGCTAAAGCCTATACCACTGATGATATAGGACTTTTTTCCCGCTTCAGGATCATAGGGTTTTGTAGAAAATTTATCTCGCTTGTTGCCTTCCTCGTCGAATAAAAGAATTTGTCTGTCGCATGTTGCAACGGCTAGTTTTTGATTGTTGGGGGACCAACATAGGGAGACTATTTTGAAATCTTGATCCTAAAATATTTGCAAATTCAATGATGCTTAAATAAAAGATATTGGGTACACTTACTTGAGCTTCAAGGATAGTTTGCAAATATTTTAGCTGCATTTTATAATATCAGAATAATAATATGAGAATAACCGAATAACCTGGTATTGATTTTTTTGGTTGTTGTAATGCTCGTTACCATAGTAACTATAAGCAAAATGGGATTAAATTTTAATTATTGAAGGTGAGTAGGAGTAAGGCGAGTAGTAAGGTCTTAGATTATGAGTAGGTAATCAATACCTGTCCTAAACTATTGATTTACAACAAGTATTTTATTTTCAGAAATGCATTTTCACAGTCTTAACTTAATACACTTTTCCTTACATGTTCTAGGTACAAAATAACTTTAAATTAAAACCATTCAGACATAGCAATCACACATATATACCAACGGTAAGTAGTAAGAAGACAATGCCGAATCCTGAAAAAATTGAGGCAACCAAGGCAGTAGCTATTTCCTTTTTAAGGCTTCTGGTTTGTTTGGTGCTAGTGACCTCGTAGACGAAAAACCAGGCAGTGAAGAATATTCCAATTCCTAGCAGGACCAGAGTTAGATGGGGAAAGACTGCTGGATTTACTGGTGATGAGTATCTCGACAATTTTGCGATATCAGCCTGAAATTTACAAATCCTAATTTTATAATAAACTAATTGGTTGTATATTTTACCATTTTTGTGTTCGTGTGTGATATTTTTCTTCTCTGTAGATTGTAGAATAATACCCCGATTTTTTTGGAAAAAATTGAAAATCGGATTTGAAAGAGATGTCACGTCACCTAACCTCTCTTATCATAGGCACGGTGTTGCCAGACGTCAAAAACTATCAGAACTGGGTTTTCGAGGACCGGTCGATTTTTTTAAAAAAATGGTATTTTGGAGTAGGTACTAGCAAAAATAATAGTTATTTATGATATAAGTGTTAAAAGTACATTTTTAAGGCACGCATGTGAAAGTTTCACATAAGTGCCTTAAAAAATACTTTTAACACAAATATAAATACTATATTATTTGACATTTGTCAAAAAATCCATACAACCAGCACCTTGTTTTACAGGTAACGAAATGTCTTGTCAGTTTCTTGAAAGTCTGTCGTGGTCAATGTCGTGGTCAGGAATGCTTTTTGCTAAAAATGCAACAAAATACAGAAGAAAAAGAGGGTTGCATGTTGCATCGATCCTTCGAAAAATATAGATGAGGCGGCCAATCGGGCTACCTCAGTTGTTCAAATTTCACCATTAATATCAATGTAAATAACTGAAAATACAAACTTTTTTTGACGTCCGCTCTCAAAATTTGATGTTTCACTTTTAACACTAGTGCTATAAAGACTTTATGGCACTAGTGCGATAAAGTAACATTTTTAATGCTTCGGGGCGGTGTTAAAAATTACATTTTTAACACGTTTGTAGAAAAAATCTGTTTTTTATTTAAAGATAATTCCCCAAGTCAAAAATTTAGTAACTATGAAAATCATAAAACAAGCCTTTCAAGCCCTTAGGCCAGGGCAGATAAATTTTTTCGTAACATAAAATTTAACAGCAAACTATCGATGCAGTATTGTTAAGGATCATTTATAGATGCTAAAAACCAAAAATGCAATCTACCTAATTACTTTTAGAGGATTTTATAAACAATATTTAGTGCAAAAATAGGAAAACTAATGATCGGATGGTTTTGCTACTCTGGCAATAGTTTTGGAGCATTGAACAAGCTTTAAAATGAGCCATCATACAACCCTGTAGGTCTTAGTCTTCGAGAAATGATTTTTTTCCCCCCAAAAAAGAGATTTTCGTAAAAAATTCCTAACTTTTTTAATTTTCATGCTAGACAATTAATTTTTTACACATACATAGTAGATGAGGCAGGCTTTATTGAGCCCAAATTTGGGCCCGGTCCGATGGGTCGTTTCGGCATAATACACTTGTCAAGCAAAATGGGGATGTTTCTAAAGCAGTCTGTCGAATTAAGGATAATTTTTTTATATTTATTTTGAAAAGTCCACTGATAAGTCAAAATGCCAAACTATCGATCCTCTAACTCAGATTTTCCATTTAATTTTTTTATTGCAAGTAAAACGGCTCCAAACATCACTGAAAATGGAAAAAAAATGTAATTTGCGTGGGCGGGGGGGAGCTCGCTGTCACTCCGTTTGAATTCCCGTCAATTTTTTCCATTTTCAGTCATGTTCGAAGCCGTTTATTACTTACGATAAAAAAATTAAATGGAAAATCTGAGATAGAGGATAGATAGTTTGGCATTTCGACTTATCAGTGGACTTTTCAAAATAAATATAAAAAAATTATCCTCAATTCGACAGACTGCTTTAGAAACATCCCCATTTTGCTTGACAAGGGTATTAGGCTGAAACGACCTATCGGACCGGGCGCAAATTTGGGCTCAATAAAGCCTGCCTCATCTACTATCTATGTGTAAAAAATTAATTGTCTAGCATGAAAATTAAAAAAGTTAGGAATTTTTTACGAAAATCCCTTTTTTGGGGGGAAAAAAATCATTTCTCGAAGACTAAAAGACCTACAGGGTTGTACCCACATAACAAAATTGCATCCTTAGAATGTATTAAGAATGTTCTTTTTTTAGGAGGAATGTGCCTAGAATGTTCGCCAAAACCATTGCGAATGTCCTGAGAATGTTCTGAGAAAAGATTGTAGAAATACTTTTTGCAATACCCAAGAACTTCCTGGGAAATCCATTAGGATATTCCTAGAATATACCTATGAGATTCTCAGTACGTCCTGAAAGGAATATTCCTGTTTGATTCTAAAAATATGCTCGAAACGTACCTATATTCTCACATTCAAAGAATGTTTCTATGACATTATAGTTATGTTCTCAAAAGAATATTATACCAATATGCTTGAAATATTCTTAGAATATATCTACATATATCATTCTCAATATGCATCCTAGACATAACATTCTTGTTTGATTCTAAGGATATACTTGGAATGTTAATTTTCGCTTCGAAATAATACTCGTTTCAGCCCTTTTATATTAAAGGCAGTGAAAGAGTTGTTGGAAAACTTCTCTAGAAAACACGAGTATTTAACCAAAGCTCCGGTTTCGAGCTTGTTATGCTCTCGTCGAAGCACGCCAACTGAGAGAAACAGGTTCCAAGGTGATTCAAATGCGAGGCAAGATGTAGATCTTTAATAGCGCGTCGCTCCCTCTCTTGGAAGTCATACAAAGCAAAAGAAAAAGAATATACCTATAATATTCTTAGTAGGTTCTAGATAGAGCATTATTGTTTAATTGTATAATCAAGATTTTTGAGTAGGTACTTTAGATAATTAGGTGAACAATATGAAAATATTCTTAATGGTTACCTACCTACATAAACTGCTCAGCACAACTTGGTAGGTATATTCTTAATACTTGATAGAGATATTAGCTTAAAGAACATTTTTTAGGGTACATTATAATAATGTTCGTCTGAGAATATTCAAAGAATGTTATATAAAGTAGGTTCTTAGCACAATCTTTCAGGTAGGTGCATAGAAGCAACATCCCTAGTACATAAATAGAACGTTCAAAAATGAATATTTCAATCGAAACAATCTTAGAATATTCATTGAACATTCCTAAAAGAACATTCCAAAAAGTACTTTGAGGGAATATTCTGAGAATATGAATGTTCTTTCACTGTTATGTGGGTATGATGGACCATTTCAAAGCTTGTTCAATGCTCTAAAACTATTGTCACAGTAGCAAAACCATCCGATCCTTAGTTTTCGAAATACAGTGAAATAAACAAAAAAAAGCCCTGTTTTTGCACTAAATAATGTTTATAAAATCCCCTAAAAGTAATTAGATGTTTCATTTTTGGTTTTTAGCATCTATAAATGATCCTTAACAATACTGCATCGATAGTTTGCTGTTAAATTTTATGTTAAAATATGGCTGTTATTTCGCTAAGTGCCTTGGCCTACCTGCAAGCCACATATCGGGATTTTCGTTTTCGATTTCGAAAATAAATAGGCTAGATAAGCCTGATATACTATACAGAGGGCTAAGGTTGCGTACCTATTCTTTAGGTTTGTTTCTTTGTGTCGCACTAACTTGAACTAAGCTGTTATCTCAGATTATATGGCAGATAAACCATATAAAACGCTCACAAACGAACACCCCAAAGCAGGAAGTGCTGCCCCGAACAACACAAAAAAACAATGTCTTTCAGAAATCCTGCCCTATTCTTAGAAATAGACGTTAATGTGCTCTAGGATATTCGATTCATTGGACAACCATTTGCGAAGAGGAAAACCTCCTCGAGACAAAATTTTAGAAATTTGCAAATAATAGGTACTTCGTAATGGAGTGCAAAGAGCAGTGGCGGCTCGTGGTATAACATATTGGGGGTGCACATAATTTGTAATTCATAATAAATGCCGAAAGGGGGATGCGAGGCGCGAAATTTTTCGGGGTGCCACGCCCAGAAGTGTTTATTTTAGGCCTTTAAAAAAATAATTTATTGTAAGTGATCGTATGAGTTATGTGATGTGTTTACCTACCAATAATTAAAAATATTGTTAAGGGATTTCATATCTACCCTACCAAACAACCAACTAAGCTCAATTTAATACTTTTTTCGGTCTATCAAATCGTGGAAATTGAAGGATCTTATATCAATAAACTAGAAATTAAGTAACAAAGTAACTTACCTCGCTGAGTACATCGTCCTGGTCTAACAATTGTTTTTATACATAAATGTATTATAGTTTTCAATCTCACAATTCTCACAGACACGTTTTGTATTGAAAGATAAGAGTAAGATGTGATTTTGAGTTTTGATGTTTTTTAATTTTTTCGGATAAATGTACTAAATCTTTAACGCCGGATTTTGTCCATTCTGATGCTTCATCGCTTCCAAATAACAAACAGGGAAAACAGTAAAGACTATTACTAACATCACAACCGCACAACCAGTCAGTTTTTTCGTAAGTTTCCATTTTAAAAGTTAGTTTATAATCACGACTTTTGCATTTTGTTATGTTGGTGATTATTAAATTTGGCTTTGGACGGCCGACACATTTGATTTGGATTTTTTCCTCCAAAGAAAGCGAAGAAAATTTAATTGTTTTTAAATATTGCACGCTAAGGCTATCGGGGTTCAGAAATCCCGCCATTCTACACACAGTTTTCAGTTAAATCGCGCTCGAATCGAAATAAATTTAAAACAACGGCTTCCGATCCCAAAGTGCACTGACTACATGTGCACACCAGCCAGCTTAAAACATCGAACGTCGCTAGACCTTCGCGGGGAACAAAGAGTGCGGGGGGGCATAGTTCCACCAATTGGATTTAATATTGAAAAGTGCAGTGAACGGGGCGATCAAGCGACGCGGTGGACGCTGTGATTCCAGCGTTGCCGGTTGCGTTTGTTTTGCTGGCGCATTTGGCCACTAATTTTTTAAATTAATACTTTACAGGTAGAATGTTAAAATTTGAAGAATGATAAAATTAAATTTAAAGTTGTTTGATATTAATTTGGGAGTGCACGTGCACATGTGCTCTTATGGAGGAACCGCCACTGGCAAAGAGTCATTTGAACTAATTAAGTCACTCGTTAAGTCATCAACATAGAAGTCATTTCTAATCACAGCAGCAGCTTCAGTGTAAAGTGACTTCTGACTCAATAGCAAGTTGTTTTAATGAGTAATGTGACTGTATGGCAAGATACGCCGCAGACGCCGTTCCGTAGCTCACCGTTTGATAATAGACCCACCTTCTGAACGTCATTTAGCGCAAGACCGCTGCTTGATTTGCA